GGGGACCACAGAAGAAGAGTGAGGAGGGCTTCCCCCAATGACACCTACATCTAGAGGAATGATACCAATCATGTCATAGTGGGATCCATGGTGGGAGGTAGTATTAGTGTCATACCTTCACAGCAGGTTTGTGGACGTGGACACTTCACTGTAAGGAGACAGAATAGGAACAGAGCCCTTCCAGTCTCATATGGAGAGAGCTCTTTTGAGAGCCTGCAGGAGAGATATCTTTGATGGGTGATTAGAGATCCACGATAGCAGACAAATGCAAAATCAGCAAAACATTCTAATCTTATTATTGTGACATAATTTTTAAACAAGCCTGGTGTGGCCTAGTAAGATCAACAATAAATAAAATGGGTAAATAAAAAATTTGTCATTCATGTTCAAAAAAGAGGCTGTAGTGGGTGGAATGGTGGCTCCAAAGAGGTATGCCCAAGTCTTAATCCATGGATCCTGTGAATGTGACCTTATTTGGTAAAAGGGTCTTTGCAGATGTAATTAGATTAAGTAGCTCAAGATGAGGACATCTTGGATTATCCCAGTGGGCTCTAAATCCAGTGGCATGCATTCTTTTTATTTTAATATTATTTTATATTAGTTTCAGGTATACAGCATAGTGGTTAGACATTTATATAATTTACAAAGTGATCACCCTGATTAGTCCAGTATCCACCTAGCACCATACGTAGTTATTACGATATTATTGATTATAGTCCATATGCTGTACTTTACATCCCCATGACTATTTTGTAACTGCCAATTTGTACTTCTTAATCCCTTCACCTTTTTCACCCAGACCCCAGGTCCCCTTCCCATCAGCCAACCATTAAAATGTTCTCTGTATCTATGAGTTGTTTCTGTTTTGCTTGTTCGTTTATTTTGTCCTTTACAGCAAGGGTCGCCAAACCCCGGGCCATGGACTGGTACTGGTCCATGGCCTGTTAGGAACTGGACTGCATGGCAAATGAGCGGTAGATAAGCAAGCAAAGTTTCATCTGTATTTGCAGCTGCTCCCCAGCGCTAGCATCACCACTTCAGCTCCACCTCAGATCATCAGGCATTAGATTCTTGTAGGAGCTCCAGTCCCTGGTGTCAAAAAGTTTGGGGACTGTTGCTTCAGAGTCCATATATAACTGAGATCATATGGTATTTGTCTTTCTCTGCCTGACTTATTTCACTCAGCGTAATACCCTCTAGGTCCATTATGTTGTTGCAAACGGTAAGATTTAATTTTTTATGGCTGAATAATATTCCATTGTACATATGTACCACAACTTCTTTATCCAGTTGTCTACTGATGAAGCAACTTAGGTTGCTTCCGTATCCTGGCTATTGTAAATTGTGCTGCAGTAAACATAGGGGTTCATATATATTTTTGAATTAGGGTTTTGGTTTTCTTAGGATAAATATCTAGAAGTGCAATTGCTGAGTCATATGGTAATTCTATTTTTAATTTTTTGAGGAACCTCCGAATTGTTTTCCATAGTGGCTGCACCGATTTGCAATCTCACCAACAATGCATGAAGTTTCTCTTTTCTCCAAGTCCTCACCAGCACTTGTTGCTTGTTGATTTATTGATGATTGGCATTCTGGCAGGTGTGAGGTAATATCTCAATGTGGTTTTAATTTGCATTTCTCTGATGATTAGTGATGTTGAGCATCTTTTCATATGTCTATTGGGCATCTTATGTCCTCTTTGGAGAAATGCCTATCCAGGTCCTCTGCCCTTTTTCAATTGGATTTTTTTTTTGGTGTTGAATTGTATAAGTTCATTATAAATCTTGGATATTAACTCCTTATCAGTTGTATTATAAGCAAAAGCTTCTCTCATTTAGTAGATGGTCTCTTCATTTTGTCAATGGTTTCCTTTGCTGTGCAAAACATTTTTAGTTTGATGTAGTCCCATTTAATTTTTTGATTCCCTTACTTTTTCAATTGGATTTTTTTTTTGGTGTTGAATTGTATAAGTTCATTATAAATCTTGGATATTAACTCCTTATCAGTTGTATTATAAGCAAAAGCTTCTCTCATTTAGTAGATGGTCTCTTCATTTTGTCAATGGTTTCCTTTGCTGTGCAAAACATTTTTAGTTTGATGTAGTCCCATTTAATTTTTTGATTCCCTTACTTGAGGAGATATATCAGAAAAAAATATTACTAAGAGCAATGTCAGAGACTCTACTGCCTATGTTTTCTTCTAGGAGTTTTATGGTTTTGAGTCTTACATTTAAGTGTTTAATCCATATTGATTTTATTCTTGTATATGGTGTAAGAAGGTGGTCTAGTTTCAATTTTTTTGCATGTAATCTGTTCAGTTTTCCTAACATCATTTCTTGAAGAGACTGTCTTTACCCCATTGTATATTTTTGCCTCCTTTGTCATAGATTAAATGACCATACAGGTGTGGATTTATGTCTTTATTATGTTTCATTGCAATGACAAGCATTTTTATAAGAGAGACACACAGAGAAGAGAAGGCAATGTGAAGATGGAGGCAGAGATTGAAGTGATGTAGCCACGAACCAAGGAAGAATTCTTATAGAGCTTTGGAGTGAGTGTGGTTCTGTTGACACCTTGATTTTAGACTTCTAGCCTCCAGAACTATGAGAGAATAAATTTCTGTTGTTTTAAGTCATGAAGTCTGTAGTAATTTGTCATGCCAGCCCTAGGAAAGTAATGCAGGGACTCATGGCTTGACAACAATATATGTGAAATACCTGGGCTAACACAATGATGTGGCTGATAAAGAAAGAAATGCAGTCCTTGGCTACTGTAATGAAAACAGAGATTATAGATCAAGGAAAATAATTGTTCTACCATATAGCTGTAACATTGCACTCTGTTGTGTCACCTTTTAGGACGGACATTGATGAATGGGAGCCTAGTCAGAGACAAATGACCAGGATGGTGAGAGTTCTGGAAAGCTTGTCATGGAAAGGATGAATTGACAGCATTGGAGATGGGTATCCTGGAAATTGGTGGGTGAACATGAAAGCAACCTTGAAATATGTGAAAGGCTGTTTTGTCAAAGAGGAAGTCGTCTTGTTTTGTGTTGCTCCAGGAGGCAAAATTGGGTCCAGCAGGTAGAAAGTAAAAACGGAAAGTTGTCTAACAATTGTCAAGTATAGAAACTCAAAACATCGGAAATATTTCAAAATGAAAAAGTATTGGCTTCCTATTTCCAGAAATATGGCTTCTGGTTCTACCTCTGCAGTTAAATGGTGTGACTCTGTGAATATAATTTCCCCTTCTTTGGACTTCGGTTTTCTTCTATGTGAACTTAAGGGGTTGAATTGGATGTTTACCCAAAGTTTCTTTGCTTTTAGTTACTTCTCATTCTAAGGTTTAATAAAAATGTTAAGGTGTCTTACAATTTCTTAGTACCTAGTATGGGCTAAGGCTAGCATCTGTTCGAGGTGTTTTAACATGTATGAGCTCATATAATTCTCTCTGCACTGCAGGGTATGTATGTTACCCCTATTTTACAGATTAGAGCACTTGCCAAGGTCACATGACCTGCATATGGCTGAGCTAAAACTTGAACTCAGATCCCCCTGCTTCATGTACTCTTTCCACTACATCATGCTATATCTTCTGTACTGTACTGACCCTTTGCCATATCTGAATTTAGCAAATCATAAAATTCTGTGTCAGATTACTCCTTGAAAATCACTTACAAGGTGATATTAACTATCTCAAACACACTGAAGATCAGAATGTTTCTGAGGACTTTTCTGAATAAAGTTTCCAGACTATAATGCATAGACTTTGGCACAATATGTGCATTGAAGTCTAGAAACTTTATTCAGAAAAATCCTTAGGGCCTCCTCACTCACAGCCTTTCTCTCATCATTTCATATGCAGTGTCTGATCTTCCTCTCTGAAGAGAAGGGCAAGCTAGAGGGCTGGTCAGCAGCACCCTGGGAGCCTGGGACAGGCTGGGTTGTTGGGTTGTGGAGCATGAGGTAAAAGCAAAAGAGTAGCAGTGTCCCATGGAGTTTCCACAAAAGGGGAAGACAAATGGGAAGGCAAGTTCTAGCTCCGAAGAATTCCATGCATGAGAAGTTCAACACAGGAAGCACATAAGAGAGGCCTGAAGGAATGTCTTGAACCATGGAATACTCACTCAGCCAGCTGCAGGGATTTTTACTTGATTCCTGAAGCTTTGGGGTGGGAAGGAGTGGGCACCAGCCCTGAGAGCTCAGTACAGCCCAAGATCAGCATGCACTCAGTTCTGACATACTTATTCATCTGGATTTTCAGTCAGTTACATGTTACAATTTAAACAGAAATCAGTGGGAGAAGTTAACAGGAAGAAAGCAGATGTGCTCACTTCAGCAGCACATGTACTAAAATCGGAACAATATGGAGAAGACTAGCATCGTTCCTGCACAATGATGGCATGCAAATTCATAAAGTGTTCCATATTTCTTACTAGACTTATTGGGTGAATCACTTTGTACCTGAAACTAATATAATATCGAATGCCAACTGTAATTGAAAAAAATGCAAAAAATAAACTACTATTATGATTTTATAAAAGAGGATGAAAGCAAATATAAACATAGCAAGAATAATAACAACTGATGAGAGCAAGGGAAGTGCCAGGATGACTATAGAAAGATATCGGTATTTTCTTAAGGCCAAGCAGTGTGGAGGAGCCAAAATGTGGGCACCACTGTACTTCTTGCCTGGCATTGCACTGGATATTCACAATGATGACCCAGTGTCATCAAGAGATGAGGTGGTAGTCTGTGTCTTCTGCATGTAAAAGCAGAGAAGATAGTATAAAAAGACTTCCACCCAAAGTGATCTAGAGAAAAAGTTGTGATGCCTGAATGAGTAAATCGCAGTTATCTAGAAAACCTAATTAGGGAAACATTGGCAGCGCAGGATGAAAGAGATGATTTAAAAATAATATGTAAGGCGGCTATTAAGGAAACGTAGCAAATGCGTGGGTGCGTGTGCTCAAAAATATATTAAAAATTTTTAATTAAATTCAATTCTGACCCTGCCTAGCTCCTATCCTGCTGGGCTGCCTGCCTGAATGAATGAATGAATGAATGAATGAATGAAAATCATCATCCCTGGGTCCCCTTTCTTGAGTTGTACTATGGTCCTAATGCAGTGTCAAGGTGTTGGAGATGGATGAAGGCACCTATCTGGTCCTCAACCATCCCCACACCTTAACCACCTGAGAGGTCTATCATCCCAATCTACATGGTGTCTCCTATAGCCAGCAACTCTCCCGGCTCTTGTCAAGTTGGGGCAAGGAAGTCAGTGCTTAGGCTGGCTAGGATCCTGTCTGCCTGGAGGCACTCCACTGTTGATCT